GTTGCCCCTGACTACGTGGCCCAACATCGTGCTGTCATTAATACCTACTATTCATTGGCTGCCTCGTGTGTTGTCACCTTTGCTCTGTCTCCTTTCTTCCAAAAGGGGTACAAGCTCAACATGGTAAGGAAGGATTGTCATACCATCTTATTCTGTTTGTCACACGACCTTATTAATTGCATTTTACTGTCACGTAATCTGGAATGTCACGCAAACGCATAGTCTTTGAATTATTTAGGTGATTATTTTTTGGAGTTTTCACATGTTTTCCTTCATTTAGGTTCACATCCAAAACGCCACACTAGCCGGTGGAGTTGCTATGGGAACTGCTTGCAACATGGTCATCTATCCATGGGGAGCACTGCTGGTTGGGTCCATTTCAGGCACTATCAGCACTCTTGGATATGCTTACCTCACTGTAAGAACCATTCTAAATCTGTGGATAATTCTGTACATATTTACTGATTTACAGATTCCTTTCCCATTTATTTATCTATTTATTTATTTTTCGTTCTCTTTACTACTCTTCTTCTCAGCCCTTCATGGACAAGCACTTGAATACCCACGACACTTGTGGTGTCAACAACCTGCATGGCATGCCGGGTATTATCGGAGGTATCGTTGGAGCTATTACTGCAGCTAGTGCCAAAGCTGAAAACTATGGATATGAAGGGTAACCAATGTATTACTCTACCGTGCATCGCCTCTTCTCCTCTTCCTCCTCTTCTCCTCTCCCTCCTCTTCTCCTCTTCCTCCTCTTCTCCTCTCCCTCCTCTTCTCCTCTCCTCACCTCTCCTTTCATTCCATCTCTTTTTATTTCATCTCACTTTATTTTATTGTATTTTATTTCAGGTTGTTCAGTGTCTGGGGTGGAATGGCTCCAAAGGAAAACAGCACTGAGTTCTTCAAGTTGAAGAAAATGGGCGTTGCTTTCGATACAGGCGATGGTTTCACCGCGAAAGAGATGGGTGGTTACCAGATAGCGGCTCTGTTTGTCACCCTTGCCATTGCACTGGTCGGTGGAGTGATCACAGGTAAGATATTCGTAGCTGGCGGCGGATGCGAGGGTGTGTGTTGTTCAGTAMGATTGTTAAAAAACAAAAGGACAGGTCTATGAATGGACTTCATTCTTGACTACGTTTCGACAAAAGGTTGACAATTTTCCCTTTATTCTTGACTATCTTTCAAAACAAATGAGATTTTCCCTTTCGTTTTTTGCCACATCTACAAAAATCGACACTTCTCAATACAAACTTCTCAGTTCCTCGGTCGACGGCAAAACTCCCAATCTCAACATTTGCTTMATTCTAATTCAATCTGTGGATTAAATCAGCCCAGAGGTAGCTTTGAGGGTGTTTGAAGAGGACCACGTTGAATGGAACTCGTAACCTTTCCTTTTGGGAACCTTCCAGCAAAAACTTTCCATTCAAAAATTCTTTTGTGATTTCTTTTAACAGGTTTCATTGTCAAGCTGGGTATCTTTGAGCCTCCAGAAGACCATCAACTTTTTGATGATGAAGATTTCTGGGAGGTAAGATATACGTAAAACTATACACCAATCTTTGGAATATCATTGGTAGATCTATAAAGTGACGTTTTTATAGTTCACGTGATATTTGCGCGCCATTTTGAATGTTAATAAATATTGATCTCTTTTTATGGCCAACGCATACGAAAATGGAGTAAATTCATATTCATCGTTGAACGTCTTACTTTTTCTTTTGTGATTATTGAATTGTACTATGCCACTCAACTCGAAAACTCAAATTAAAAGGCCTAAAGTTTCTTAAGTTATCTTGTCGGATGTGAATGTGTGTGGGGGAAGGAATCGCGTGATTACTACGAAGGAATATTACATTATAAAGATCAGTACCGAATAAAGAAGCTAGTCACCTTAAAATTGTATCATCTTAAGAGATTTTGTCATTAAAAACGAAGCCTAATGATTCGTAAAAATCACCATAACCATCTTTTTCAAGGTTTAGACTGACCTTGGTTTAATGAAGGTTATCTTCAAGAACGTCTTTCCCTTGCAAGATCTTTGATAGTCTTTTCAAAGTTCAGAGAGAGATTGGAAACGACCTTGTGGCGCATGGAATTATGGGGCTGGAGGATATATCTGATCTTGTCCTAGAAATTTAGCCCTACAAATTAAATGCCCAATGCGGTCGTTAAATCAGAATTTTGATTTTGAGTTTTTCAAATTATTTCCAGACGCCTGACATACCAGTCGTTGGCCATGCGTCAGAACACATTAATCTTGTGGAAAAACACGTGCTTTGATTAATAAGGTATCATAAAATATGAATATTCGAGAAGAGGGGATCAGTATTTAACCATAGTTTATAATGAGATGGAGTACAATACCTCTAACATTAACTATTATTGAACTGAGCAACTAATGAGAAAGAAAATCTATTTTATAATTCTCAGTTCACTTTCTTGTTCAGTAAACAACATCAGTATAAACCTTTCTTTATAAGCCATTCCGAGGTCGAGGAAAAAACTGGGTCGAGTTGGCATTGGAATGCATTTTGGCAAGAGAATATGAACTAAGAGAAGGAATCCTACCTATATAGCCTTTATATATACAGTTTGATGTTATTTTTAGCTTGGAGATATTTTGAGCGAAGAATTCGATTGGTTGATTTCTTGAGRGTAGGCGGCTTCCAGTCCTGCAGTAAACAAAGCCTGTGTTTTTGTTGTGGACGTAGAGAAATATGGCGCTTTTCGTGTCCTAAAACGAGGCATTAAAGGGAAGCATGAYTATCGCGCGGGCATGGTAACGAGTTAAAAATAGCATCAATGATTCTAAAAATAGCATCAAAGTGTRCACATGATGGGGCACGGGGATTCCTTCTTTTAGTTCATTTTCTCTTGAYTTTGRGGCTGTTTTAGGCGACGAAATAGCCGCCATCTTGAAAATACGTCCCCAAAACAGCCCCACAATGCACTGCAAAGCCGACTCGACCCAGTTTTTTCCTCATCCTCGGAATGGCTATTCCTTTCAAAATTTATAACCAAATAAAGAAAAATAACTGGATTAATTACTCTTACAAATAAAGAGACAACCAGAAATTTTAAACTTAGCGGATTAATACGGTAATCAATCTAATAAACTGATTGATTAATAATAATTATATAACTATTTAAAATGTGTTGAACGATTTCGAATTAAATAGTTTTTAAAAAAATCTGAATTAAAATTTGTTTTGAATGAGCGAGAAATTAACTAGTACTAGTGCTATCAATATGCGATCATTTTTACTCGTTAACTTGGTTTCTCCCTAATAATAAAGTGATAATTAATCATTCAAGAATTATAG